TTTTTTTTTTTTTTTTGAGTAATAAGAGAGATGTTACATTCACAGTCTTCTTACACATGTATTTTTATAGCCTCTCACATGGGGGAGGGCCCACAATCGCGGGCCTCACACCCATGTGAGAGGGTTGTGAAACTTACTGTGAAAAAAGTTTGTACATTCAGCATTTTTGAAAAATAATTAGGACATAAAAAGTACCATTTTCAACGCAATACCTATAACTCTCATCCTCATTTCTCTTTCTTCTTTCTCATGAACATTTGTTCTCTTCATTTTCCCACGCAATCACCAAACCTGTTTACCGCACTTCCATTTTCCCACACAATCATTGGAAGACTTATCATTTCTTGTCTCTCATTTTAACTTTTTTCTCTCAATTGACAACATGAAGCGCAAAGTTTTTGTGTTGGGATCCCATTTATTACTCCACTATGTGCGATTTTCTTCTTTCGATTCAAGAATTTTTTTGGAGTTTTTTTTTTATTAATTTAGATTTTTTTTCTTCTTCATTACTTTTTCCCCCTTTTATTAATCTCCGTTCTGATTTCTTGTCTCTATTACTCTTGAAGGTTGTGAGTTATTTGACAGAGCATGGGAAAGCTTTCATGATTTGAAGGTATATTTATTTCTGAGGGCAATTATTGTTAGTATTTCTTCTTGTAAGCAAAAGTGGATATATTCTCATTGCCTTGATTTTTGGCTCTGTTTTTCACATCTGGAACCGTTGGTATGCTGAAAATCAGGGTAAGTAGAGACTATCGAGTTCAAAAACCATCTAACAAATGCATTTATACTTTGCACTCTACTGAAGCAATGAAAAAAAGCAGGATAGCCCATGCAAGTGAAGATTCTACTATTAGTTATAAGAACTTCCAGTCAAATTTGTCCCCTCCTCTACTGAATCGATGTCTGCCTGTGCAGAAAAGAGATGACGAGAAGCGTTTGAAACATACATTGGCGCAAGCTTCACACTTCCTTTCCACCGACAAGCCATTACCAGTAGTTTATCCCACAACTTTTATCCACTTATATCAACACATTTTATAATACTCACAACTTATAATCTAAACTTGTATCGTTGAACCTCATGGAATGTGTTTTTTAAGCACATAGTGATGCTTTTGAGCAAATTCGAGTAGGATAAAAAGCAGATACAACATATGAGAGCTTGAAAGAAATGTTGGACACATTAGATCATACTCTTATGGTATCCCTGAACCCGATGTATTCATTGAAATCAAAAACTCCAGCTCATTGGATTATTTTTTATGCTTACAATTGCTATGCTATTGGTTACATCAATTAGAGATGAACAAGCTGATGTTAAAAACTTGTAATTCTAGTTTTTTGTTTATGATATATTTCTTTTTTATTCCAATCACACATTTTTCATTAATCATTATTATGTGAATCTTGAAGGAGGGCCTTACTGCTCTCATGGTCAAGCACTAGAGTATTGATCTTATGTCAATGAAATTACTTGCAGATTTTCTCGTATGTAGGATAGATTCTGTGATCATGTAAATACATTAATATGCGAATAATGAAGTGTAAATCACCCAAAAGATGTAAGCAATACTGATCGTTACTTCATGCAATCGTTTTAACATCTTGAAAAGTGTTAGATTTATGATTATACATCTACCTATATGTAAGTAAGTGTAGAAAGCACCTCTTTTCATGCATCCATTCGATTGTATTACTTTAGGTTTTTGATATGTTGCTTCTAATTTGGTTGCAACATGATTGGGTTCTATTGGATCTTTTGGATAATCCTACTTGATGTTGCTTCTTCAAAATTTTGTGATAGGATTAACAAGGCGAATGTACAAACACTTAAAATTACCGTCCAATTTAATCATTTTCCCTTTGTTCATCAAACACCTCCTTCAGCTTGGAAATCCACTTGCTTCATTAATTCTTTTCTACCAAACCTCATTCTAAATACATAAATAACAATTGATGTATTGGAAATTCCGATGATCAAATAATTTTTATGGCTTTACATAATAGTTTTTTTTGGTAATTTCATATTTTACGTCTGTCATATCTCATAATTGGAGCTTTCTGCTTTTGTAGGACTGGCTATTTTATGAGATGCGGGACCAAGGTAATGATGCCATTGGGTTAATGAGGCAGTTAGATGAGGAGAGCGAAGCTACATTTGCATATGCCAAAGACATTTTGAGAGATGAAACTACTAATATACTATAATAAAAGGAAAGTGGTTTATAGACCATGAAACACGTAAAAAGAAACATTGGTAGTCCAACACATTGTTCTCTGTCAACTTCAAATGTATTGGTATGATAATCAAGAATTGCCATTTTTAATCAACTTCTATTAATTAATTAATTAATTACACATACTGTTCAACATGTTAAAATCGGTGATGTGTGCATGTATAGTGAATATATTATGGTCTATGTTACTACAATCAATATTAGAAACATATCTTTAGATTATAAAATAAAAATAACATGAAAAAAGAAATCAAAATACTACTAAATACGTCATTACAAAAATGCAACATGCATTGCACGTGTAATTTCTTAAATAATATGTATGACTCAATAATTGATATTGAAATATGAATAATAAAATCTAGTAGCAGAACGAATTGAATTCAGGTTGACGTTGACTGTCTTTAACATGTGAAGGGCATAACATTCGAGTAAGGAGTACGGTAACCCAATTAAGAAGATGGCTATGGCCCATCAGATTTAATTTCATGGGCCTTGTGTAGGGCCTGTAGGAAGATGAAATACTAATAAATAGACCTCATTTAGCATGTTCTATTTTATTTTTTCTTTCCCTTCCTCTCGACAATTTAAAATTAAGGAAATTACACCCTACCCCTGCTTTTAGATTTCCACTTTCAAAAATCCTATCACAAGTTTTATTTTTCAAAAATCAGGTTTTAATATTTAATTTAATATTAATTATATTATTTTCCCCAATTAAAAAAAA